TTTTAAATTTTTCCTTGATTTTTTGGCTAGGTGTTCCTCATAGTCCTTCTTGGCCTTCCTAATTATATTTTTACACTTCATTTGACAGAGTTTATGTTCCTTTCCATTTTCCACATTAGGATTTAACTTCCACTTTTTCAATTATGCCTTTTTACCTGTCACTACTTCTTTTACTTGATTCGTAAGCCACAGTGGCACATTTTTGGTTCTCCTACTGTGTTTTTTATTTTGGGGTATACATTTAAGTTGGGCCTCTATTAGAGTATTTGTAAAAAGTTTCCATGCATTTTTTTAGGGATTTTACTTTTGGCACTGTGCCTTTTAATTTCTGTTTAACTCACTTCCTCATTTTTGTGCAGTTCTCTTTTCTGAAATTAAATGCCATAGTGTTGGACTGCTGTGGTATTTTTCCCACCATAGGGATGCTAAATTTAATTATATTATGGTCACTACTTCCAAACAGCCCAGCCATATTCACCTCTTGGACCACATCCTGCACTGCACTTAGGACTAAATCAAGAATTGCCTCTCTTTTTGTATATTCCAGAACCAGCTACTCCAAGAAGCAGTCATTTAGTTTGTCAAGAAACTATATCTCTGCATCCCGTCCTGAGGTGACACACACCCAGTCAATATGGGGATAACTGAAATCCCCCATTTTTATTATTGAGTTTTTTATTTTATAGCCTCTCTAATCTCCCTTAGCATTTCAGAGTCACTATCGCTATTCTGGTCAGGTGGTCAGTAATATATCCTTACTGCTATATCATATTATTAGAGCATGAAATTATTCATAGAGAGTCGTTGAAAAAGTTTGGTTCATTTACAATTTTTAATTCATTTGATTCTACATTTTCTTTCACATGTAGTACTACTCCCCCACCTGCATGACCTATTTTGTTCTGATATATTTTGTACTTTGGTATTACTGTGTCCCACTGATTATCCTTATTCTACCAAGTTTCTGTGATGCCTATTATATCAATATCCTTATTCAATACGAGGCACTCTGGTTCACTCAACTTAAACTTCTAGTGTTTGTATATATGCACTTTAAAAACTTGTCACTATTTAGCTGCCATTACATGATGTGACTGAATGGGACTCTTTTTCACTTGACTTTCTCATCAGATCTTACCCATATTTTCTCATCTTCCATCCTCTGCTCTTTATTAGGACATAGAGAATCTCTAATAGACCCTCCCCTAAGGGATGTCTCTGTCCAATCCGTGTGTTTCTCTGCACCTATCGGCTTTCCCCCATCCCTTTGTTCAAAAAATGCTCTATGGTCTTGTTCAAAAAATGCTCTATGTTCTTGTAATTTTAAGTTCCAGCAACCCCCAGGATGTAAGTTACACTGATGCAAGGAGCTGGGCCACTCTGTGCTATGTCAGCAGGAGAGCGTCTCTTGCCAACATCATTTTTGTGTCTCGTGCAAGGAGAGTAATTATGTCAACAGGAGAGCATTCTCCTCTCGGCATAGTGAGTCTTCATGGAACACACTGCAGCAGAGCATGGTAGTGCAGAAATGTCCTGAGACCAACTACTTACTTCATATAGGACAGAACAGACAGTAATTTCTTTCAGTCACTCACTATACTATAGGTTAGATTCAAACTAGCAATATAGGGGTAAAAGAGCTGTTACAATCTCTCCATATTTCATAGAATCACAGAACCACAGAGCTGAAAGAGACCTCAGGAGGTCATCAAGTCCAGCCCCCTGCTCTAGGCAGGACCAATCCCATATTCCAAATATTTCTCGTTTCCTATAAAACTTCCATTGGAGAGTGTAACCTCATTCATTCTAAAGCTCACTGTCTTGCTTCTATAGGCCCCATGTTCATGTCAAGAGCCGTGTGGCATCGGTCCAGAAACAAGATATGCCCCCTGCTTCTCAAGAAGCAACTTTATAATCTTCATTCATAGAGTGAGTGAGGCAGAATGGTGGGACTGAGACATTTAAGTAAAAACACAAACCTGATTCACTCAGGTCTAGAAATGGACTGCTCAGCTTAAGTGAAAACCAGATCTGAGCTCCATTATGACTTCTCTCCCCAAGTCCCCAAAGGCTCAAAATTGCTTAGCATTTAGTAATCTGTCAGAAAAGGGGATATGTGCATGTTGAGCACTTCCTGTGTATGTTCATGCCAAACAAAACAGATAGTCCTCATAGTAGTTTATATTTTCTTCCATTAAATGCTAATAGAAGCAATTGACTTGTCTAGTTTCTTGCATTCTACCAAAGTTTCACATTAAAACATCTTTTCAATGTCAGAAGCAAGCAGAAAAAATGTAATGGGTCAGATATGAGGGAGGGGCAAGAAATGCCTCGTGCACAGAGCAAGAAAAGATGCTGGTCATTGTAAAACGATCTATTCTGACAGTGACCAGGAGCCATCCACAATAAGTGCTGTCTGGTGGGAGGCTGCCCCCCCAGTTCCCTGCTGTATCCAGCAGCCCAAAGCTCCTCCTGCACCCCTAGCACCAGCCCTTAGCCTCCTCCTACAGCTAATACATGTGAGTGTTCAGTGTCCAAATCCCCTCCTGCACCCCATTCCCTTGCCCCAGCTCCAACCCCCTCAAAGAGCCAACACCAGAAAACGCCTCCTGAAGCCAACCCCCCACCTTAGCCCTGAATCCCTCTGAGACAGCTTTTCTTATCCCCCGTACACCTTTCTGTACCCCAGCCCTGAGCCCTCCTGCATCCGAACTCTCTCCCATAGCTTGCACCCGTCACGCCCTCCTACACTGCAACCCCCTGCCAAACTGTGAATCCCTTGGCCCCAGACCAGAGCCCACACACTCCGCCCCTGAAACTCAACCTCTTTGCCCCAGCCTGGTGAAAGTGAGTGAGAAAGGAAGGAGGGATGGAAAGAGAAAGGGTGGTGCAGGGGCCTTGGGGATAAAAAGGATGGAGATCACTTTTCTAGAACATCAGCTTCCCTATAACTGCCATCCTCCATACCCTGATCATTCATAGGTTACAAAACTGAATTCAATTTTACAGAAATATGACCTCAGAAGTTTGGTAATATTCTACTGATTAACTTATAGGTTAGATAGAGCACATCTAACAATAGGCTACTGCACAGACTGTTGTCCCTACTGGCCAATTCAACACAGATGTCAACAATGATCAAGTACAGAGGGTATGAAACTGAGAATCAGCTGCAGAGAATCAGCTGCAGAAGTTAATGTGTGTGTGACTTCAAACTCCTTGAACATCAATAGCACAGAAATTACCCAGCAATCCTTAAAATTATATGATAGTGTTTTAGGATACCACTTCAAAACACTACTGCATGCTGGGGTCAGATTATGTAGAGTACTGTTACATGTGGGGGAAAAACAGAAACTAGTCTAAACTAGGGCTTTGTCTACTCTAGGGAATAGTTCCTACTTGGCCACTGCTGCCTAGCAATTCTTGCTGATCTCTTAGTGTGGACAGGAACATGTTAGGCTTTGCACTGAATGAATGTGTGATAGGTTATACTAAATACAATTAGCAAATCAGAATAGTTAGTAGTAAACTATTTGATCTTCACATTTATTCCTGAAATAATTATACTTTTTTTTTGTAATTTACTTTGTATGTTTACTGGTCTTTAGCTACTGCTGAAGTAAAACTGCCATTCTCCTTCCTGTACGTCATGGCAATATACAATACCATCAATTTGCTCCTGATTAACATATTAACCTACCTCAGTGAGCTCCCAGGTGATGCTAATAGTCCAACATAGCCCATAGCTGCGGATCAACAAGGCCTTCATTGCCCAGCCCCAGAAATGCCCGAAAGCAAATATGTCAAAATGGCTAAGGATTCTCTCCCAGGTGATAACATGGCAATTTACAGCATATTCCTGTTAATAAAACAGCAACAACAGATCCTCATATAAGATTTACATTGGAAGCAACAGAACAGTAAAACATATTTACCTCAGCATAAACTGAAAGGTTGAAACTGAAATATTTTGGACGTTGAAATTCATATTACTGTTCCCACCAACAGCAGAAATGCTCTCTTTCTTCTCCTCCGCGCCCAAGAAATTAGATTAGGAAAAGGGCAACTAGTAAACTGAACCATGATTAGTTATACAACAAAAGGAGCAAAATTATTTGTTTTCAACTCTATCATTTATGATTTGGTTAAGCAATGCTGATTGTTATCATTGCTGGTAATTAAGGGGCAATTTCTGTCTTCAGTGCATAGCCTCAAGTATGTACACTAACTGCTGGTTTTTGTGCAAGGTGTAGATTGGGGCTCAGAATTTTCTTGGTGGGCCTCAGTCCTATACTGAATGGATTCTCTGTTCTCTCTGTCCCCTACCTGTATAATACTGCACTGATACAACTGCAATCAGGACCTCACATAAAGTGTTAGTCATTTATTATGTAAGTAATATAAGAGAAATTAAGTCTGTGCAAAAGCAGAAAAGCAACAAAGTTTCATTGCTTAATACTGTCAGGAAAAAAAAATCCATATCACTCTTTAAATTTGGTCTGACAGCAAGGGTAGACCTCCTATTCTGACCTGACTCCAAGCTGCTCAGGTATGGTTCAGATACAACAATGGATAGTGTTCAAATATTTAGAATCACTTCCTTGATTAACAAAACCCAAAAGGTGAACCCAAATATTTCTAATATGTGCATCAGATCAATTTTTACAAACTTGAATCAAAATAAAAAATATTTGTTTACTAGTTAATTCAAATGTAGAGATCTGACAGCTAATAGAAAATATCTGGAACTTGCACAAGGATAAGTATACATACCATGATATCTGCTTCTCTGGTGGCATATCGAAGATTAGGATCTAGCCAATACATCACTGCTTTGACCTGCTCCAAGTTAAGGAAGAGCACAAACACCAGAAACAGGAAATAGAGAACGCTGAGACCTGTCAGAAGTAGAATTATATTCACATGGAATGTTTATTGAGGCAATTCTGTGGGCCAGATAGTCTGGGCCAAAAGTTGGTTCCCAAGTGGTGCCCCAAAAACTGCTCTCAGTAGTTAACTGCACACAAATACCATTTTGCACAAATACAGGTTTTGTCCATGCAACAACTGCACACAAAAATTTTGCAAAAACAAATCATGTGACAATCTTTGGAAAAAAGACAACTTTTTATGCCACTACCTATCAGTTAGTCAATTAAGTAGACATGACTGAACAGAACCAAAACAATCCAAAGAGCAATTTAAACAAAACATTTAAGCAGGAGCACAAGGGAAGGTCTTAAAATAGAAACATTGGGACTTAGAGATTGGGCTTTTCCGGTCCCAATTTCATTCTCTCCTGGCCTCTCTAACATAGCCTTCTAAACCAATAAATTGCATACTAAGTGACTGATTCACCTGCTCTGGAAATGCAAATTTAGCTGCAATCCTAGTTTTACTGGTTAGTTGCTTTGATGTGCTAGAGATTGTCATTAGAAGTTTAATTCTAAAAAGACAAACTAAGGAAATTCAAAACCACAAAACAACAAAAAAGAGTTAAGACTGATAATACATATCAGTGATTTAAGAATAAAAAAGACAGTGACGTTTTAATAGTTGATTTTTGGCATAATTACAATTCCAGGAAATTGTTATGGTAACACATGGGACTCAAGTTGCTCCCCAATGAGGAAAGCATGAAACATGAGTGACTGTAGCATGCGTTAAACTTTACTCACAAAAATCATAAGCCCCAGGATGCAAAACCAGGTTAGTATACTCTCCTCCTGCCTTATGTCACAAGGGAGTGCTGCTGGGTTTGAGACCAAGCCCACCCACCCTGAATCTACGTCACCGTGGCAGCCTCTGTCCAAGGGTGTTAGGCCAGACTGCCTGCTATAGGTATTGCAAACTGGTGCATAGGGTCATAGTGCCACTCAGTTCTGTCCTGGCTGCATATGCTGCAACACCCATGCACCAGGTCACAAAATTATTTGATTGAATTTGGTCTACCTACCTCTGTCACAATAGAGGGGCAGCCAGGCCAACCCCAAGTGATACTGAAACCCCATGCATAGGATGTAATGACTGGAGCAGACAGCTGGGCTCAGCCTCATGAGATAGGAGGTAGGTGAGTCTGGAACATTCTCGCTCTCTAGCCATTTCCTGGCACCCCCAGGCGAGATTGGGGTGGTGAGTGCTCACTCAGCAGTTCAGTATAGTGCACTCATTGAATGAAAAGTTTACAACCACCACAGGAAAACAGGAAATTAGTTGTCCACCACAACAGATTGTGAATGTTACATTCTACATACATATATTAACCATATTACTTAACGAAAAACAGTTTTAAAGATTATGATGAGGCAGCTGTTCACTTTCAATTACGGATGTTAAATATCAGTTAATTGAATAGTAGAGTAACCTCATGAATTCTTATTGGTTAGTTGACTATTCTATGTGCTCCCAGCCCCACTCCCAAGGAGCAGTGCAAGGTGCCAGGCGGGGAGCCAGTTTAAAAAACAGCTTGCGCACTGGCTCCCTGTTGCCCTGAGCTGCTGCCTCTGATATAGAGGCAGCAGCATGGGATGGCAGTAGCCCCTGTCTAGGAGGTTCTGAGTTCCTGGATCTGGCGTGAGCCGGAGCTGAGCTGGGCTGCCTGCCTTCCCAGTGCCTAATACACTTTAAATGCAGAGCCATAGCAGGGGTAGGTCCCAGACTTGTCAAAAGCCAGGACTGAGCCGGGCTGCTGGTGCAGGGAGGGGAAATTCGTGTAGTCTATAGCGTTAACGTATATGCTTTTGCTTATCGGATAATCGGTTAATTGACTACACGATTACATTCCTACTTTCAATATGATTGCCTCACTTTTGTAATCTTGTTACTAAACAGGCAACTTTCAAAAAACATGTAACACTTTTGCTACATGTATTACAAAAAGGATTCCCTGTTCTAATTTTTGTGTTTATTCCTCAGCAAAAGATGATGTTTAGGAGTAATATATTTAATAAAACCAGAACATCTGAAAACGGCTTTTCTTGAAAGATGAAAACATTCCTCTCTAAGCCCCTATGCTTCTAGAATGATTGGGCAGTGCCTGTGAGAGATCTTAAATGCAGCCCCCTCAAAAATGATTCAGAAATCTGCAAAGATTTTAAATTTGGGCTGTTTTCAGTGTAAATTCCATAAAAACTTATTCTTAATTTTTCTGCTTCACTGGAGTTGATTGTTTTAAGCAAAATTGTAAGATACTTTGGAATACTACAGGTCATCACTCTATCTGTAGAAACAGAGCAGCATCCCTCCTTATACAGACAGGTTACAGTACAGGAACAGTGTCTAATGAGTTAATGAAAAAAAATACACAAAACATCTTATACAATGAATAAAACAATAGCAGCTTGGCCCAACATGTAAAAAAATCAAACATGCTTGCAAAGATTTCCCAAACCATTCAAGGAATACAGAAGATTCTTGTTCGAGATTTAATACTCAGAAGAATCAAAAGAACATTCTGCAAGCAGATAACAGGATGGCATGCTGCCTTTCCAGAGCCAAAACAAGAGACACAACTAATACTGAATAGAATTCTTAAGCTGACAAGCTAGGAGACACTGGTGCTAGCTCCTACTGAAACTAATGGAACTGAATTGCGGGATATTACACAGATATTAGATGACTTCAGGGAACTCAGAAACATACTAAAGAAGAATATCCAAGCAATCTTCTTTGGGTCTTCGTTGCATGAACTGCATAACCCTGGGGTACATCAATCTGACTGACATGTGGGAGATCTCATGCTGCCAATACTAAAATATCCTGGAACTTCTAAAAAGTATGGATGACAATTTTCAAAACAAAATTTGCTATGGCCAACATAAGGTTTAATAAAGAATTCCCTCGTCTTTACAGATAAAGGGGAACTGACCACAAAAGTAGAAATTGACAGTAGCTTAGGTACAAGTGATCATGACTCGCCCACATTTATAATGTTCCTGAAGTATAAAGTCCAGACCAATAATATGGGTGCTTTAACAGGGCCAATTTCACAAAGCTAAAAAACAATTATGAGCCAAATCATCTGGAAGAATGTAATAAAAAAAAGGGGAATCATATAGAATTCATTTAAGAACATCATACTAGAAGCCCAAAAAACTATAAAGCCACAGCTGAGGAAAAAAGCCATATTGGTAAAAAATGACATTTTTATAGGGAAGTGAAGGCAGCTATAAATATATAATAAATGGAAGAAGGGGAAGATGATGAGAATAAATATGGATCAGAAAATAGGAACTGTAGAATATTGATAAGAGAAGCAAAGTGGCATAAGGATAAATATATGGTCAGTATAATTAAGGAGAATGATTTTTAGATATATAAGGAATAAAAATAATCTTGACAATAATATTCATACACTACTAGATAGAAATAGTAGATTTACCAATAATGCAAAAGGCAGAAGTGTTCAATAAATATTTCTGATTTGTATTTGCAGAAAACAGAACACACTTTTACATCTGCACTTGAAAGGGAATCCTCTGAACTGTCATTCATGTTAAAATTCGACACTTACCACCAGGGACTTAACAAGTCTTTGAACTTTCTCACCCATTATCAAGACAGTTTCCCCAATTATCACCTGTAATACCATTAACTCACAAACATCCCACTCTCCCTACCTCTAATATCATCAATTCACAGACACTTACCTTCCTTCCTCCCCCTTCCCACCCCCCCGCATCCCCCTTCTGTTCTGCAATGTGATTTGTCCTTTTCATATTTGTTCATTTTTTTTAATTGTATCCTTTGGTATATATGGTTGTGACTATTTTCTTCCACTATTTGATCTGAGGAAGTGGGTCTGGCCCACGAAAGCTCATCATCTAATAAACCATCTTGTTAGTCTTTAAAGTGCTACATTGTCCTGCATTTTGCTTCCCCAATCCACTAGTAACTCTGGAGGAGGTTAAACAGAAGCAAGAAAAATTAAGCATTTTAAATTGGCAGGTTCTGATAACTGAACATAACAGCCATACAGGGTCAGACCAAAGGTCCATCTAGCCCAGTATTCTGTCTTCTGACAGTGGCCAATGCCAAGTGCCTTAGAAGGAATAAACAGAACACATGAGCCATCCTGTTTCCATCTTCCACTGGCATTCCAGAATTTTAAAAGAGCTGCTGAATTGCTTGCTGGACTATTAATGCCGATTTTCAGTAAGTCTTAGCATGCTGGAGAAGTTACAAAAGACTGAAAGAAAGCTAAAGTTTTGATAATTTTTTAAAAGAGTAAACAGAATGACTCAGCCTGACATCAATCCCTTTCAGAATAAAGCAGTTGATACAGCACTCAAATAATAAAGAATTAAAGGAGGGTAATGTAATTAATGTTTATGGAAAATAGATCCTATCAAACAAACCTAGTTTTTTTATGAGATTATAAACTTGATTGATAACAGTAACAGTGCTGACATAATATGCTTCTTAAACTTATCTAAGCACTTGACTTGATATCATGCAACTTTCTGATTAAGAAATAGAAAGATGTACAATTCATTCGGCACACATTACATGGATTAAAAACTTGCTAAGAGATAGGTCTCAAAGCATAAATGTGAAAAAGGAATTATCACTGAGTAGGTCTATTTTCAGCATGGTGTCACAGGGATTGGTTTTCCACCTAAAGTATTTATCGTTTTTATCCATCACCTGGAAGAAAACTTAAAATCAACACTGGCCAAAAAAAGCAGATGACACAAAAATTAGGGAAGTGGTAAATATTGGAGGATAGGTCATTCTTAAAGCTCATGGTGGCTTCTCCATCACTGACAATTTGGATATTTTTCTAAAAGAGATGCTCTAGGAATTATTTTGGGAAAATTATATAGCTTATTTTACAAGGAATCCCAGTCTAGATGATCATAATGGTCTCTTCAGGCCTTGGAATCTGCGAACTCTAGCATGACAAGGTTCCCCAGGCTCTCCATCCAAACACTGTATTTACAGGCCCATGGCAAAGAACATGGCAGGGCTGCCTAGCCACTCAGGAGGCAAGCAGGGAAGGAGACAAACATGTGATTTGGTGGAAGTTAATTGAATCCAATTCACTTTCTTGAAAAATTTCAGGTTCAATGAACCAGCATTTTCTGATTAAACTAAATAATACAAAAATTAAAAATTTAAGACTTACCAAAAACCATCCGCCATATTGCTGGATGTGGGCGAGTAAAAGGCCCTGTGGGGAGAAATGTTTGTTAGATGACAGTGAATGATTACAAAGAGTAAAACCATACCATGTTATTTCTAAAACTTGGTTCAGGGAGATTTCAGCAAAAGTTAACAAGCAAAGATCAGTTTTCCTTCACATCTTACGGTGTACTTGAAAGTTTGGGTTGGAGCCTATATTGTATTTAAATAAACAAGTTCGCTAGCAGTTTTTTCTAGGATTTGAAGGGTTTTTATTCATTACTGGGGCATGGACGAAATATGCAATTGCATTTCATTGGCATTCTCTCTGTGGTGGGAAGATGATGGCATGTATTTTGGATGTATGTCTGCTGAGATGCCAGCTGTTGCTATTTCTAACAGGATAATCGAGTATGGTAGGCAACCTGCAATCCACATGCAGGGGGTTCCACATGTATCCTGTGGAGCCCCTGTCTGACCCTGTCCCCCATGTGCCTCTCGCATGCGCACTGGGGCACTAGAGCCCCACATTTCCTATTGTCCCCTCCCCCCCAGGACTTTCAGAGCGCCATGAATCTACTGATTCATGCTCTGGCCCTGCTCCTCCTCCCTCCCAGAGCTTGAATGCCGCAAATCAGCTGTTTGCGGTTGTTCAAACGCTGAGAGGGAGGGGCAGAAGTGAGGACAGAGTATGAATCAGCAGAAGGGAGGGAGAGGAGTAGAAGTGAGGGGCTCTAATGTCCTAGAGGTATGGGGAGAAAGAGGGCATAGTGTGAGCCACAGGTTGCCCACTACTGGATTGCATTCTTATAGTCCACTCACTAGTCTTGGCTGCCCATCACTGGGATAATCTCTTGATCTGTTTTCCATATTACCTCTGTTCTGTAGCTTTTTACAGTTGCAGGGGCATTTCATCTTGGGAATGAGAAAGTAATCAAGTACAAATTGTTGCAGGTTAGCAATGAAACCAAGAGTACTGACTCCACAAAAACATTTCCAAACAGGAAACTAAAAGTTCTAAGACATAAAAAAGGATATCAGGCATCTCTCACACAGATGTTGGATGTGTGTGGAAAAATCAGCCCTTCTGGCTACAAAATTGAAACTGATATCTTTTAAAGACAACATTAAGATCAAAGGCAAATCCTGATTAAGCAAATAGCTCAAAAGGGCTTACTTGCAAGATATTTCAAGAGCCTGGATTCCTGAGGAGAGGAGTCCTCTTATTACTGCTTCTGTTTTAGATTTATTTTGCAGAAAGAGATTAGATTGATTGATTTCATTTATTAGATTAAAATGCCCAACAGGAGCAAAAACTGAAGTAGAGATAATGGCCATCTTTGTCTGGTAAAGCTGAAAACTTTCTAAATACAATCCATTCTTCTAGACTGCAGGAAGAGTCTGAAAACAGAGATCTTTAATACACAATACAGATTTCTCTTTGAATCCCATATGCGAACAGCCATGCATATTTCACTCTGTTTTTTTTTTACTAAATCCATACTTGAATGGCAATCACATATAAATATGGGATGATTAGATTAAGCAACCTTCTTCACATACTAAAATTTGCTCTTCCCAGTAGGAAATCTGTTTGGTCTGCTGTGATAAACGTATTTATGTGGGTAAGGAGATTAGTGATTACTTTGATATTATATAGTGTGTAACTATGGGACAGGCATACTGGATTAAACATTTACCTTTTGTCAACAGTGGTTGATGCCAATTTGGAGGAAGTCATTTTGAAATTATGATTTATGTGAGTAATCCCTAAATTTGTAAAGAGCTATTTATTTTCTCCAGAAATATTTTTGGGAAAAAAAATCCACCCATAACCAATTACAGGAGATGAATATGAATTGCCTAAGAGATTAATAGAAGTTAACAATAATTTAATCTCCAACTTTCTAATCATCTTAATCTTTCTAATCATCTTAACCTAGGGGGACACCACTAGTTGCCCCTCTCCATTCTGAAAATTTACCATTTATTCCTACCCTTTGTTTCCTGTCTTTTAACCAGTTCTCAATCCAAGAAAGGACCTTCCCTCTTATCCCATGGCATGTGCACTAGGGATGTTAAAATTAATCAATTAATTGAATAGTTGATGGAATTTCCATTGATTATTCGATTAGTTGATAAGAGCACGTGTGCATTTCAAAGACTGAAATAGCACATGAAGCCTGGGGCCAGTGGGGGACTCTTAGTCTCCCGTTGGGCAGCCAGAGATTCCAAGCAGCACTTCCACTTTTGAAATGTACAGTAATTCCTCATTTAACACTATAGATGCATTTCTGAAAATGTTTGTGCTAAGCGAAAACGTGCTATGCGGGGTCAATTTTCCCATTAAAAATAATGGAAAAGGCGGGGATTGTGTTTCAGGTGGTGGTGGCAAAGTCAATTTTTTGTTGGTGCTGGGTCGTCAGCATCCACATTAGATATTTAGCAACTCAAGATAACTAAAACCACAAGTCGCTGCGGTTTGTTAAAATACAAAGAAACATGTGAGTGAGCAGAGGAGCACTGTGACCACGTGTATTCATCTGCTCATGTGAATTACCACTGTTTTCACCAACTTATACCGTCGCGCGAAGTAGTCCGCCACTTGATTATTTTCATGTTAAAACAGGGACTGTTGTGTTATTTGAAAAGTGTGCCCTAAAAATAAAATCGTGCTATTGCGAAAACATGTTAAGTGGGTACGTGTTAAACGAGTAATTACTGTACAAGAGTCCCCAGTGGAGCTCTTGTACATTTCAAAGGTGGAATGTCACTGCTGCGTCCCTACCCCCTCCCACAGAGCTGGAGGGAATTTGCTTTTAAGCTGTCTCCTCCCAGCACTACCTTCCCCTCCTCTGCTCCACCCCCACAGGCCCCCCCCCCCAAGACTCAGGCAGAAGGGGCAGGGCCAGGGCACTTTCTTGCTTTCCCACCAACAGACTCTGATTAATCTGTGGGTGAGGGAGCATGTGAAATCTTTGCCCACGCCCCTCCCAGACAGAACCACTAGCTGTTTTGAACAAATGGAGGTTCCCTCTAGGCACCCGCAACACTAGTGGTGGGAGGAGACTTCGCGTCTACCCCCCCATTTCCCCAGGTCAATTAGGTCCTGGGGGTAATGGGGAGCATACAAAGTTTGCCTCCGCCCTGCAAGGGAACACAGCACTTAGTCATCTGCCAGCTGAGTAGCAGCTGGTAGTTAACTAACTGCCGAGCCCCTTGCAGGGCAGGAGGAGACTTTGCTCACTCTCCCCGCTTCCAGGCCAGTCAGGACTTGGGGGTGAGGGGAGCGCACAAAGTCTCCTCTCACCCTGCCCCCATCCTGGAAGGAGGGCAACTGCCAGGGTTGACTAAAAGCACCATGGGCTCCCCTGTCCCTAGGCCGGATCTGGCCCACAGAGGCCCTTTTGCCCATCCCTGCATTAGAGGAAGGTTTGGAACAAACTGATAAACTAAACAGTAATAAGTCACTAAAACCAGCTGGTATTCATCTAAGAGTTCTGAAGGAACACAAACGTGAAATTGCAGAACTACTAACTGTAGTTTGTAACCCAACATTTAAATCAGCTTCTGTACCAAATGACTAGAGGATTGCTAATTTGATGCCAATTTTTAAAAAGGGTTCCAGAGGTGATCTTAGCAATTACAGGCCAGCACGTCTGACATCAGTACTGGGCAAACAAAATTGTCAGACACATAGATTAACATAATTTGTTGGGGAAGAGTCAGTATGGTTTTAGTAAAGGGAAATCATGCCATACCAATTTACTAGAATTCTTTGAGGGTAAACAAGCATGTGGACTAGGGGGATCCAGTGAATACAGTGTACTTAGATTTCCAGAAAACCCTTGAGAAGGTCCCTCACCAAAGGTTCTTAAGCAAAGTAAGCGGTCACAGAATAATATGAAAGGTCCTCCACCATGTCAATAACTGGTTAAAAGATAGAAAACAGACTAAATGGTCAGTTTTCAGAACGGAAAGAGCTAACTAGTGGTGTCCCCCAGGGGTTGGTACTGGGACTAGTCCTATTCTACATATTCATAAATGATCTGGAAAAAGGGGGTAAACAGTGAGGTGGCAAAACTTGTAGATCATACAAAACTACTCAGGATAGTTAAGTCCCAAGAAGACTATGAAGAGCTACAAAGGGATTTCACAAAACTGGGTAACACAATGGTAGATGAAACTCAATGCTGATAAAAACAAAGTAATGCATATTAGAAAAATACTTCCAACTATCCATATAAAATGACAGGATCTAAATTAGCTGTTCCCACTCAAGAAAGAGATCTTAGAATCATTATGGATAGATCTCTGAAAACATCCACTCAATGTGCAGTGATAGTTCAAAAGGCAAACGGACTGTTGGAAATCATCAAGAAACGGATAGATAAGACAGAAAGTATAAATGCCTCTGTATAAATATATAGTTACACCCACATCTTGAATATGGTGTGAAGATGTGCTCATCCCATTTCCAATTCCAATATATCTTTTTTGAAGAGATTCAGGAAAGGGCAACAAAAATTATTAGGAGTATGGAACAGCTTTCCTAACAGGAGAAAGAAATAAAACTGGGATTTTTTAGCTGGAAAAGAGATGACTAAGGGAGGAATATGACAGAGGTCTATAATATCATGCAGTAAATTCGGAAGTGTTATTCACTCCTTTTCATAACACAAGATCTAGAGGTCACCAAATGAAATTAATAGGCAGCAAGTTTAAAACAAAAAAAATATTTTTTTTTTTTTCATACAACAAACCTGTGGAAATCTATATCAGAGGATGTTGTGAAGGCCAATGCTATAATAGGGGTCAAAAAAGGAGGATAGGTTCATCAATGGCCATTATGCAGGATGGGCAAGGTTGGCGTCCCTAGCCTCTGTTTGCCAAAGGAATGGGACAGAGGATATGAATCTCTTAAGATTACCGATTCTGTTAATTTCCTCTGAGGCATCTGGCATTAGCCACTGTCAGTAGACAAAATACAGTAGACTTCCGATAATCCGGAACCTATGGGACCTAGGTGGTGCCAGATTATCAGATATGCCGGACTATCAGGAGGTACTATAAGATGGTTATATATATACTGTATACATTATATACTGTATATAAAGTGTTCTTAACCCTTTTTATTGTACATACTGTATACAGTATACTGTAATGTTTTAGTTTTTTTAAACCTTTTTTTCCCTCCTTTTGCTCAGTTCAGCTGCTGCCGCTGTTACCTTGTGACTCATTTTTTGCCGAAGCTCACTCACTAGGCTCTTGCCATTTTGATGCCGGACTATCAGGAGTGCCGGACTATTGGATGCCGGACTATTGGAGTTTTACTGTACTGGGCTAAATGGATCTTTGGTCCAATCCAGTATGACTGTTCTTAGCATTGAACTGAAATACAACAAAATGCATATCACAACTCATTTATGCAGTAGCTTAATTTAATGTAATGTAATGTAAAGAGAGTGAATATAACCTGTCTAAATTTAAAAGCAAGTGATCCTTTCCATCTCAGAAAGTACATAGCAACAAGTGAAAAGAAATATGCATGTGAAATAAAGGTAAATCATCAATATACCTACCATTTGGAAATGCTAGAACACTAACGATTAGAAAGAAGAAAACCACAGAGAGAATACCCTTCCAAATATTATCTTCTGGTATAGAATCATTTCTGAAAAGACAGACATTATCAAGTTAATAATACGACTTTTTGAGGACTATCACAATAGACACTCTGGATGCCAAGTTAATGAAGTACATCTGGAAATACGCACTGAAAACCAATTGTGGTTCATAACTACTAAGAGATGCTAACTTAGTAATTGCACTGAATGGGGTTCACTTGACACTCCTGCACAGCCATTTATACAAGAATGAAGCTAAACCTAAAATCAGTATACACGTTCCAGGAGCACAGCGTCCAATCACTATCGGAGGGAAACAGCAACATTAAAATAATAAAGCTTAAACTATTTTTTTCCTGGAGAAATATTGTTATATTGTAGCCAGAGGGGACAGACCCATCCATTGTGACTATATTGACAGATCTCAAGGGGAGATCAGACCAACCCCCAGTTCCTCCCCATGCCACATAAAGCTCATGGCTGCTATCAGCTCTGAAAGCTCCCAGCAGACCAGGAAAGATCAGATGCACCAGTACCTCTAGCAATCTCCTCCAGGCTGCTGAAAGCTCTTGCAGCTGCTGCCTTCAGAGTCTAGCTCTAGCTCTGAAGGCAGCACAGATGTGAGGGTGGCATTCTCACAACTCTCTTACATCAGCTTTGTGACCAAGCACTACCTAATTTTGGGTCAGGAACCACAGGGTTACAATATAGTGAAATTTCATAGGTAAACTTCTGAAAGTGTGAAACTGACCAATTAAAAACCCTCTAGCTGTGAAATTAATCAAAATGGGTGATGAATTTGGTAGGGTCCTACAAATGAGTGAAGCTTGCATGAGCAGGAGCTGGTACAATACAAGATTTTATCTGACCCACTTTATCTCTCAAAGAGGCCTCAAGATAGTGACCTTTCTCTAATCTTCCCCCATACAGATTAATTTGTGTCAGTTTCCTAGATGTAGTGCCACCCAAGCTTGTCTTGGAGTCCTTCCAAGACTAGCTAAGGAACAGGAATTCTGCCCTAGCATTGCGCTCCCCAAGCACCTCCAGGAGTTCCACCTTGCCTAGAGCTGCTGCCCTGCCTTCCACAGCCAACCCACAGATTCACAATGGATAAGCATGTAGAGAGGATATTCCTCTACTACAACTCAAATAGCTGTGTATAGTCATTACTTTCACTGGTAGAATGATTTCCATAAAAATGAAAGCTACTGACTGATTTACTAATCAAGTAACATTGCTGTACAATTCAATACAACTTGGCCACATACGTTAAAGAAGGGTGGACCAAGTCACTTAAGTTTGGCTTAATGTTGCAGCAAATATTTATCTTAGTACACAAGCGACTAAAAAAAAAAAAAAAAAAGAGTTACTGCTTCTTCTGAGCTAGGAGATAGACTATGATATTTGCTCAGAAACCCGAGAGGAAGATGCAGGCATAGGGAATAATGACTGTCAGGTGACAGGTACCATTACAAACCATAATCAAGAAAACAGACTTTTGAGGGAATTCTGTGCCAAAAAAATAATTCTGCAAACAATATGTCAAAATTCTGTAAAAGTTGTCAAATGTGGAGTAGGGATGTACAATCCCATTTAATTGGTTAACCAGTTAAATATGCTGTTTAACTGATTAACCAATTAAAGATAGGAGGTGGGCTGGAATGCATCCCCCCAACAAAATTTCCCCCCTTTGCCTCACTGCCACGGCCGCAGCACTTAGAGAGAACTGTTAAAAACAGCTGGTGGTTCCCTCTAGGCACCATGTAACTCTAGCAGGGGGCAAGAGAGTCCTGCACCTCAATCTCCCTTGCCCCCAGATCTTACTCCCAGTTGCGATGATTGACCGGGGGCGGGAGAATGTGCATGAAGTCTCTTGCCCCCCAGATATGTGCAGCCCTCAGCAGCACATGGAGGGAAACACTGCTGCAGGAGTAAGACAGCCTCAGAGACCCTGTTGGGCTGCTAGCCAGGAGCCACCTAAGGTAAGTGACTCCTGGCCAGAGGCTGCCTCCAGCACCCAAGCCCCTCCCACTTTCTAACTCCCTGCCCTAGGTCACCACTCAAATCTTCTGCACATACATCCTGCCCCATGTCACAATTCCCTCCCAGAACCTGCACCCCCTCCTCCAGGTCAAAATTCACTCCTGAACCCCTACTTCCTCCCAGACCCTGCCCCAGGTCACAACCTCCTACTTCACCTAACTCCCTCTCAGACCCCACACCCTGTCCTGTACCTCAATTTCTTACCCCAAACTTCCTTTTGTACCCAACCTCCATCAAAAACCCTGCACCCCCTCTATAGAGAAGTACAGCCCTTGACAACTTTCCAAAATCTTGAAGTGACTCCCCATCAAAAAATTATTGCCCACCCCTGTCCTAAAGCCTACCCCCTTCATCCCAGCAGTGAGGCTACACCCAAATCAGACACAATTAAAGGCCTCAGAAACACTCTGTGGTCCTAGTCCTCCGTGCAAGGCACACCAAGCATGGGCAAGGAGACTCAAAGCAGTATGCTCTAAAGTGTGGAGGAGCTTAGTGTGGGGGAGAGGATTCTGTATGGGGCATTTAGGGTGTGAGGGGATCTGGATATGGGGCCAATGGTTCTCTGCAGCGGGTACACGTGAATGTGGCTGGGATTCAGTGGGGGTAGGATGTCCAGATGTGGGTGGCTCAGCTGGGGGAGTGGGGGTGTCCAGGTGCTAAGGGGGTGGGGCTTGGTGGGTGAGGGTCTGGATGCAACTGGTTGAAGCTTCATGGGGTAGGGATCGGGGGGGGGGTTTTCTAGAATGGGGGGACAGTCTGGGTGCAGGGTTGGGGGTTTGTGTGGAGGGGAAGCCACCTCAGCAGGGCAGTCTGGGTATGGGGGGGTCTGGATGTATGGGGTTTGGAATATTGGGGAGCTGATCTATTTATAGTGACCACATCACTATACATGAGAGGTTGAAACGACTGGGACTTTTCAGTTTAGGGGGGATATAATAGAGGTATATAAAAACATGAGAAATAATCATAGGCAAATAAAGAAAAGTTATTTATTAGTTCCCATAATAGAAGAACTAGAGGACACCAAATGAAGTTAAGAGGTAGCAGGTTTAAAACTAATAAAACAAAGTTCTTCTTCACACAGTGTGTAGTCAACCTGTGGAACTCCTTGCCAGAGGAGCCTGTGAAGGCTAGAACTATAACAGAGTTTAAAGAGAAGCTAGATAATTTCATGGAGGTTAGGTCCATAAAAGGCTATTAGCCAGGGGACAGAAATGGTGTCCCTGGCCTCTGTTTGTCAGAGGCTGGAGAAGGATGGCAAGAGACAAATCGCTTGATCATTGTCTTCAGTCCACCCTCTCTGGGGCACCTGGTGCTGGCCACTGTCGGCAGACAGGCTACTGGGCTAGATGGACCTTTGGTCTGACCAGTACAGCCGTTCTTATGTTCACATCCTCTTCGGCTAAGAAGAGATGGGACCAGAAAGCAGAAGGGGGAGTGGGGCTTCCTGCAGCCAGAGGAGGTTTCTGGGGTGGGTCTGACCCGGCCCCTGCTGCTCTTTGTAAGGGAAGAACAAGTCCAGTCTTCCCCCACTGCATTCCAGGTGGGACTAGCAGCTGTGCCTGGCATAAGGTAGGAGACACCAGCAAGGTGTCCCAGCCCTGCGCTTCACACCTATGATTTACCTCTATGCCAGTGGCTCCAGGGGCCAGAAACACCGTGCCCACACTACTAGGGAGGACTGTGTGACTTCTTATGCAACTGCCCTTTGCTTCTCCATCAGAAAGTATTTTTTCTGTAGGGAAGCAAAGAAATTAGTGAGGGATATAAATTCTGCACACATAGGCAACCCATGGAACTCTTTACCAGAGGCTGTTGTGAAGGCCAAGACTATAACAAGGTTCAAAAAAGAGCTAGGTAAGCTAATGAAAAATAGACATCTATGTCTATTAGCTAGGAAGTGATGGGATGATGGGAACTGCACTCACTTTATGAGAACTTAATGCCTACGTACTGGAAATGAAATTCCTATGTTTACACACACATTCTTGTCAAGACTGCAAACTAGCCAAAAAGAGAAGAAATAGAAATGTAAATTCCACCATATTTCTTGGCCCAGTGCAAAACACTTCTAAACTGTTTGAAAACAAACCAATGCAAGTTACTGAATTACAATGAGGAAAGTTGAGGTTATTGTTTATTTTGAATTTGAAAAAAAAAAAAAAAAAGCAGCTATAACCTTATACAAAACCAAAACAGAAACCCAGAGGTAGGATGCCATGGAAATATTGGTTTAACCAGCACTGTTCCAGTGTTTTGAGGGGGAAACTTGAAAGACAGTGGGAGAACCCAATCCTATGTTCTTCTATTTGTGTTTTAATAAGACACGATGGCTGTGTCTAGACTGGCAAGTTTTTCCAGAAAATCAGCCGCTTTTCCGGAAAAACTTGCCAGCTGTCTACACTGGCCGCTTGAATTTTCGCAAAAGCACTGACGATCTCATGTAAGATTGTCAGTGCTTTTGCGGAAATACTATGCTGCTCCCATTCGGGCAAAAGTCTTTTTCCAAAAAACTTTTGCACAAAAGGGCCAGTGTAGACAGCAGAGATTTGTTTTCCGCAAAAAAGCCCCGATTGCGAAAATGGCGATCGGGGCTTTTTTGCAGAAAAGCGTGTCTAGATTGGCTATGGACGCTTTTCCGCAAAAAGTGCTTTTGCGGAAAAGCGTCCTGCCAATCTAGACGTGCTTTTCTGAAAATGCTTTTAACGGAAAACTTTTCCGTTAAAAGCATTTCCGGAAAATCATGCCAGTGTAGACATAGCCTATGAGCTACTGCCTGTCACCTCCATTAAGTACTGCTGTGTATGTTTCACAAAGGAATGCCTCCAGCAGCAGCCCCTCAGTTGCCATTTGCCTCCTTTCTGGTTACCTCTCAGCTACATGAAAGTCATATCTTCCTCTGCAGAGGAGGAGAGGGAAACCATGGGTCAATAAGAATCCCAGCAATAACAATAGATTTGGAGCTAGAAGGCCAGAGACTTGCCTATCCAATAGGAAAAACAAGGCAGCTGCAGTAGTTTCCTTGAATATCTAGTGTCAGATACATTAGAAAAGCCTAAAATAGGCAAATAAATACATTCAAATTTACTTTGTTGGCTTTCCACATTGAAGCAGTCCCTCGAGTTCCACCCCCTGGCTTCCAGCTTTAGGTTCGTGACCTCAGTCTCCTGATAGCCTAATGAAGAATCACTTGTACTAATAACAACACTATTAAATGCATCAGCCAACAAGCCTGAATTCTGGATTACCGCCTGCATTGCACATATGAATTTATCATGGATTGGTAGTAAGTGACTGCAGAATGAAAGCAGCAGTGAATCATTTATGTTTAGGTCTAAGAAATCTGGGACTCTCTGAAGGTATAGCCTGAGGGGGCAGATGAGCGACTGGATGGCCCAAGAATGGGAAATGAGAACATGGCAGTAGAGGCTCAGGCCTTGCCTATACTTACCTGAAAGGTCGAATTAAGAGTCGCAACTCCAACTACCTTAATTTGATCTTCAGCACTGTCTCTACAGGGAGCAAACGTTCCCATCGATTTCCCTTACCCCTCACAAATTGAGTACCGCCAGCATCAACGGGGGTGCTCTCAGCATTTGATTTAGTGGGTCTTTTCTTGATCCGCTAAATCGAACTCTGGAAGATCGACTGCCACAGCATCGATCTTCCTGATGGTGAAGACGTGATCTCAGATACCATGAGGAAGAGAACAGGAAAGACAGACAATGGGGAATGTAAATGGAAACACATGAGGAAATAATCTTTTCTTCTTTACATTTATTCAAACAGCCAGCCACATGCTTTGGGTATTGTCCCAGCAATGTAAGTAGAGGTGGCAGGTTGGTGTCAGTCAGACCAAGGAAGCTTCTGTGGCAGCTGATAGAGACAAAAGGGTGATGCTTACTGGGTAATTGGTTAATCAGTTACCTGTTCACATCCCTGAGAGTGAAGCTTTTGGGGTTGTTGTGTTTTTGTTGTTGTTTTTTTTGTTTGTTTGTTTTTTTACAGGATACAAATCATTTCTAGTATCCAGCACTCTGTTATCTTGCTGCTAGAGATATACTACTTTCTAAAACATGTTGCAATTTTAATTAACCTTGTTGAATGAGGTCTAAACAAAACCTTAGTTGATACTACTACTAGAGCAAGTTTTGATGTCACAACTATGGTTTGATAAGATCTGTTACAGTTCACTCATTAATCCTGAAGAAATTAGAGCTGTTAAACTGTTAACTGGTAAGCATGAGGCTTGCCAATATGCTTACTGGTTAACTAACCCTTGATAGTGAACTCCAGCAGCTGTGCTAGGCCAGAGCAACTCCAACCACAGAGGGACTAGCAGGCTAGGCAGCGGGACCCTTGGCAGGACTCCACAGTGACAGCTGCAGTGAGGTTGGGTGGCAGGCCCTAAATTAAAATGATTAACTGAAGAAATTTACCAATGAATATGTTAACAAAACAAACAGCCATCCTCCCTCACTGTACATTACCTTCTCTATCAAGAAATATGAGAGAGAAATGTGCAACTGCCTTTTGCCATGATAAAAGGGGACTGGTGTCACTATCACAAGAGATGCTTTCTCTTTAACTACAGTTTCAGTACTTAAAATAATCTGAACATGAAAAGTTGACACAAAATATATATTTGATAATGAAGATATCAGATATATAGCCAATCCCAGAGCAAACAAAATGACTGTACTTCAGAATTACACTGTTTATAAAAAACAACAGGCAAAGAGAATGAATGCCAGTTTGAAAAAAGCCCTAGCATGATGTTCTAGGATGCATCCTCCTGCTGCAGTCAGCTGCTTTCCAAAGGCAAAAAAATACTTCTTCTTCATGGATATTTTTAGGAGTCCAGGACAGAAGTAATACTTGGCAGAGATGCTTTGACAGCATCCAGAGAGGGGGACAAACTCCATTAGAGGTGCAGAACCCCTCTGTGGCCATGTTCAAAATAACAGCTCAATATTTAAAAAGAGAAAACCTAGTACATGGCGGGGATCAACCAAACCCCGTGTGGCTGTGCCCTAGCTGGGCTGTGCCTGCACAAATCATTGAGTTATCGGCCTGTCAGCTAGCCTGGCAATCTTAATGCCTAGCCAAGCAACCTTCCCTGGCTTTTTCCTACCCCCACTTCTCTCCCTCCCCCCCAGTTCATTCTGGCCCTTCTCTACCATTCATTCTGGCCCGTCCCTCCCCCCACCCCCTTGCCATCTCTCCCCCAATTCATTCTGCCCTTCCCCCTCCTCAGCCCCTCATCCCCCCCACAAAATTAATTTTGGTCCCCTTCATCCTCCCTTCCAAAGTGATTCTGGCCCTTCCCCCCACCCACCCCTCTTCTGGCCCCCGCGCACCGGGTGAAGGCGAAGGCCATGAGGCTGAGGGTGCTGAAGCTCAGCAGGGTGATGGTGTGGGGCCGGTAGAAGAACTCCAGGGTGATGTCCTCCACCTGCTGCTCGTTGATCATGCGGAAATGCAGCCGGTAGTTCACATCGTCCTTGCTCAGCGTCCGGCTCCCCACGCAGGACGCCATGTCCCCGCGCTGAGCATCCATAAGCATTCGGTGCATGAACCAGCTGCAGATTACGCAGCCAAGACTTGCAGAATTGCTCCGAGGAGAGAACAGAAACTAGCGGGGGAGCAGTTTACCATTTGAGAAGACTGGTCTCGTGACAAAGGCACAGGGCACTTGAGTGGGCAGTTTCTGGCTCTGCCATGGAGCAGTGTGCTCTGTAAGCTGTGCGCTTGTGCAGCTGTTCAAGAGACATTCTGATTCTGACCGGCTGATTAGCAAAGTGACCACAGCTAGTTTTTTGGTTTTAGTGGTGGTGCACATTCACATATGGCTTGGTGCACATAAAAATATTCCACACATGGGTGGGAACAATCCGCACGTGGATGGAAAAGATTAGGTACAGACTCCCTGTGTGCTGATCCCTTAATCTGGCTGTGTCTTAGCTCTCCAAGGGTATGTCTACATTACCCTCCTAGTTCGAACTAGGAGGGTAATGTAGACATACCCTTGGAGAGCTAAGACACAGCCAGATTAAGGGATCAGCACACAGGGAGTCTGTACCTAATCTTTTCCATCCACGTGCGGATTGTTCCCACCCATGTGTGGAATATTTTTATGTGCACCAAGCCATATGTGAATGTGCACCACCACTAAAACCAAAAAACTAGCTGTGGTCACTTTGCTAATCAGCCGGTCAGAATCAGAATGTCTCTTGAACAGCTGCACAAGCGCACAGCTTACAGAGCACACTGCTCCATGGCAGAGCCAGAAACTGCTCCATGGCAGAGCCAGAAACTGCCCACTCAAGTGCCCTGTGCCTTTGTCACGAGACCAGTCTTCTCAAATGGTAAACTGCTCCCCCGCTAGTTTCTGTTCTCTCCTCGGAGCAATTCTGCAAGTCTTGGCTGCGTAATCTGCAGCTGGTTCATGCACCGAATGCTTATGGATGCTCACAATAGTATCCCCACTCCTCAAACACATTCCAGGCAAGGCATGCAAAGCCCTTGACAAGTATTCATGATCTAAGGGCTCAGTTGTTGTTTGCCAGCCAACAGGAGGAGGGCAGAGTTGTATAGTCCCACTGGGAGCTGGTGCACAACATGTCTACATTTAATAAGGACAAATGCAAAGTGCTCCACTTAGGAAGGAACATTCCCTTTCGCACACACAGAATGGGAATAGTGATAGAAATGTAGCTGTGTTAGTCTGGTGTAGCTGAAACAAAATACAGGACTATGTAGCACTTTAAATACTAACAAGATGGTTTATTAGATGATGAGCTTTCGTGGGCCAGACCCACTTCCTCAGATCAAATAGTGGAAGAAAATAGTCACAACCATATATACCAAAGGATACAATTTAAAAAAATGAACACACATGAAAAGGACAAATCACATTATGGTTGTGACTATTTTCTTCCATTATTTGATCTGAGGAAGTGGGTCTGGCCCACGAAAGCTCATCATCTAATAAACCATCTTGTTAGTCTTTAAAGTGCTACATAGTCCTGTATTTTGTTTCAGCTACACCAGACTAACATGGCTACATTTCTATCACTAAACTGAACATGTTACTGTTCTAGTTAATTTGTGTATTAGCATGATGCTTTGGCACCCTAGCTGTGAACCGAGATCCTCACCTGCCGAACACTGTAAAAACACAACCGCCTCAAGACCCTTGACATTGTGGTGCACTGATTTTCTTTTTGTATAAAGAGATTGAGAGTTAACACATTTAATGCTAACAATTTCAATTTAAGATTTTAAATAATTTTACTGTGTTGAGTTATGTATTTACTAGGAATATCACATTTGTATATTTACTGCCAAATGACATCAGATAGCACAGATCTACTTGAATTTTGACAAAGCCAATGACTAAGTTTTCGACTTAGTTTGTGTGAACGGTGAGATAAGTTACTTTATTCTTGACAACTTGCTCTTCTCTCTTAGCAGGGTACTGTGTTTATGTAGAAGATGGCTTTTTGGACTCGGCAAATATGCATATGGTGCTTGTCAGTGAAAACAAATAGTGTTGCTAGTTCTGTTCAGCGACTGAGCAAAACTCGGAGAACATGGACACAATTGCATGAGCTTTCAGTTCTATCTTTTCTGGGTGCTGATGATAGCTTTCTTAAAAATGGATTAAAGGTTTATGGATCTGCATCCTTGGGGAACCGTTTGCAGTCCACCAGCTCAAGTAATGGACAGATTTTTTCTTCAGAAAGTAACTTACTTTCTCCAGTTAACCACTACCAGCATCAAGCAGAAGTAATACCAACCTCAGAAGAAAAAACATTTTATGAAGGTAAGAAATTTTAAAAACTTAAATTTCACCTTGTCCCATAAGTGGTTCTTTGTCTCCAAGCATTTTTTCTCAAATGTATCTGTAAGGCTGATATCCACCTTTTGCATGTCTTTCAGCATCTCAAGGAACCTTTTTCTCGGTGTTCCTCATGTCCCACAGCTACAGTTTGTATGCTGTCTAGCTAGCATATTTCCATGTCCCTTGTCATGTGACCCATTCATCTCCAATGATATCCCTCTGCTTTTTTGTGGTGAAGGTTCAAATTTCTTTGTTGTGTAGCCTCTCTCTCATGTTAGCCAGCACCCACCTAGTATTCTAATTTTGGTGCTGTGATGTAAGAAACTCCATTGTTATGTATTGAAAAGCCTACTTGAAACTTTAGTTTTGGCTGTTAACTCATTCAGTCTTGCTCATGCTGGCATATTTGGACAGTTTTTACATATTTCATTGTTTGAACCCCAGTATTAATATAGGATTTCATGAGAGACAAGTACTTGATCCCAGAAACCATATTGATTGCTTTTAAATCTAGTAGCAGTGAAGTCTACTTATCAGAATGTAAAATGCAGTTTAATTGGTTAAATATGTTTAACCAATTAAAGGGAATGTGGGGGATGTTTCTGCCTGCAATCCACGCTTCCAATTATTAATTGCATTTCACCAGCTAGGGAGCTGGTGTTATCCCCATTTGATGGGGAAACTGAAGTGAAGATTGCATGACTTGCCCAGTGTTGCAAGCAGATTCACAAGTCCTGCAAACACACACTTAATTGTAAGTAGGCATGTTAAAATGCAGTTAACTGACTAGTTGAGTAGTTGAGGGGCACTTCTGCATTCCTCTTTTGAAATGTACAAGAGCCCCTACTGGGGGAGGAATGCCAAACTCCATGTACAGCCCAGAGCCAGCAGGAAGTCCCGCTGACTCTGGACTGCAGGCAAGTGCCTGCTTTGAAATGTACAAGGGTCCCCAGCGGGGGCTCTTGTGCATTTCAAAGCCATGTTGCTTAGGGTGTGCGGGGGACACCCAGGTTCTGTGCAGCAATTCAGTGGAACCCAGAATCACCAGCTGACCCCGGGCTCTAGGGCACTTCTGTATTTGAAAGGGGCAGTGCTGCACAGCTGATCCCCAGCTCAGTTGTGCGGCGTTGCTGCTTTGAAGTAAACCCTGCCCCATTGCCTCTACATATCAACTACTTAATTACTTGATAGGAGAAGGCATCCCCACTCAGTCCCAGATTGCACTGGGACCAAACCTTGCTGCAGTTCTGCAATTTAAAAGGCAGTAGGAGTTGGGCAGCCTGCGTGGCTTTTGGTCCCTGATCCAGTGTGAGTAGGGACTGAGCTAGGCTTCCTTCCCAGTTAGTAGCAGCCCCTGTCCACAGGGGTCCCAGCTCCCTGCTGGGATCCCTGCAGATGGGGACTGGTTCGCGGCAGCAGCCTATGTCTGTGGAGGGTTCCCACAGCCAGGGGCTGCTGCTGGAGCAGCCCTCCCTCTGCCCCTCTTCTCCTCCCTCCCCCTCCCCTGCCTCTGATAGTGGAGTGTTACACACTCTTTTTAAGCCAGCTCCCACCCAGCACCAGCTCCTGATTTCCCCCTCACAGCTTCTGATACAGAGGCAGCAAGGAGGGGAGAATGTGAGTAGTTGACTCAACTACCCGATAAGCTTACTCTTACATCCTTAGAAAGAATCTATTGATTTAATCACATTACAGCTAATTATGTTTGTTGTTGCCACATGGAGGAAACACCCTAAGAAAAAAAGGAAGAAAGCACCAACATTAGTAAATCTTATTTGGAAAATACTTTAACTTCTAGCTCTTGAGACAGACTGGGAAGAAAATCAATTAACATTTCTATATGACTGGCTTCTAGATTGGGATGATACACTGCCTTCATCTGCTCTGGATGAGATCTCTGAGGAAGAAGCTGTGCAGATTGTAGCTGAACCACCCCTTCCCCTTAGTTCCTTCACACTTCGAGACTATGTTGATCGTTCAGAAACACTGAGCAAATTAGTGCTTTTGGGTAAGTGTAATGATGTTTAGGCAGATTACTTGTGCTTGATGTGTTGTGTTCTTTAGTTTATATTTTGATTAGTGGTGTTAAAATGTGTTTAGTTCAGTAAATGTGACTTGTGGCAGGGGAAATCCAAAGAGATTTGAGACTTTTGTCTACACTATATCTGAAAGTTTGTAAGTTTTAATCCTCTCTAAGGTGACATATACTAACTGGTCCATGTGGGCTCTGCTGCCATGTATTAAAATTTCTTTATTGCAGCATTTCTTAAAGTGTGTTCCATGGCACACCAGTGTGCCGTGAGGCAGTTGGAGGTGGGCCATGGAGAAGAGAGTTCAAAATGGTTTCCCTTAAAAGGGCAATTCCTGCTTTCCTGATAAAAGGGCAAATTGTTTGGTGGGTTTTTTGTTTTTGTTTTTGCTTAACTTTTTTTGTTTGTTCTGCTCAACTTTTCCCTGGGGGCATTTTTTTTAAAACAACTTTTCTCTTTGGAATGGCTGCCCTTAAAGGGGCAAGACTCTCTCTCTTTTTTTTTTTTCCCCCTCCTCAACAAAAAAAATCCTTGGTGTTCTCCATTTAAAAAAAATTGTTTAGTGTTCCTCAGTCTTAAAAAGTTTAAGAAACACTGCTCTAGTGTATATTAACATTGTACTTTTTGAAATGGGACTAAATCAGCATGGTAGGGAACTTTTGGTGTGTGGCAGCAGGGTCTCTATGAGCTAGTTATTGCACGATACAGTAGTGCAGACTGAAATTTTCACCTTCTAATGTGGAATAAATCTCCCAAGAAAGAAGCCCAGAGAAATAAGTGAATTGTTTGATTATTTGGGGCGGGTGGGTTTTGTATTAGAATTGCCTTTGGCTAACGGTCTAATAATGAGAACTATTTGGGTTGGTAACCAAAGACAATTGGCAATAAAATTTCCCTCTAATTTATAGTGCCCAAATAAGGGAGAGTTTGGAGAGCCCCACCCCCACATACCTCTGGGCTCAGAATATGGAGTGAAATGCATCTTGCTGTGCTTATCTTCTCTGGACGCAATACTGAAACCTGTGGTCTTAGTTTATTTTCTGAAGAAAGAAAACATCTAAATTTTGCTACTAAAACTTGGGTTAGAAAAAACTTTGGAGCTTGTTTTTTTCTGGGTTCTTTTCTGGATATACTAGCTGTTGTGATCATAGTTTCATGAACAACCAAAATATTCCGTCTATGTGCACAAAAGTCATGGTGAACACTTAATACTTGCAGTGCAACATGGATTATGTTTGTTTTGACTATCTTTTTAATTCACAACCCCAGTGTTTAATTAAATGGAAGTACAGGCAGTCCCCGGGTTACGTACAAGATAGGGACTGTAGGTTTGTTCTTAAGTTGAATCTGTATGTAAGTCGGAACTGGTGTTCAGATTCAGCCGCTGCTGAAACTGACCGCC